GCAGCAGAAGTTTGCTTGGCTGGCATGTAGGGGATCAAAGCTTCAGGAGCAGGAAGCAATATGACTGCTTCGGTAGAGAGCTGTTTATCAGGACTGGAGCTGGCATGACAGGTATGGCTCACTTTGGAGTAGGCACAGGTAGAAATGGCTCTGCTATGTGTCACTGCTGTTTCTGAGGCCATACAGGAGGTGCCTGACCTCCTTTTGAGCTGCTATGAAGGTAGAACATCTTACTCGTGACGCATAACGCTTTCAGTAGTCCTCGTGATGCAGCTGTTTTGCAGGTCCTCTCCGTGGAGCATGAATGTGATGGCTCCACATGGCTCAGCTTGGTTAAGTGTCTGCTATTCTATATAGTGTGACTTAAAACTGTTGATTTACTGAAGGCTGTGGTGAACTGTACTGTAAAATATGTGTAGACTGCATGGTCTCCGTTAGTTAAATATACTCTTTCCTTGCTCGATGTCTTAATAGCTTGGAACTGCATCTCTGACATCAGAGTCAACATCAGAGTTGATGGGAATCCAGTGGCCTCGCGTCATTAATGCATTATGTTAGGATGTGGTTTTGTGGCAGATTTTGGCTATGTGCAAAGCAGCAAATGGTGAGGGGCAAAATGAGTGAATCTGTAGAGGGAAACTGCTGGTGTTAGGGACCTGACATTCACATTGCATGTTTTGGACACTTTTATATCATCGTAGTTCTAGTCTCATCCCATGGACTTAATGCCTATTAAAGACTAGCATGCATTAAAAGTGCTTCTGGGCTGCGTATCTTTGATTTAATTTCAGTGAAAAGAAATCCAGATTATTTGCTGTGGGACTGCGCCACGCTGTGAACTGAAGCACAATAAATGAGGATGGTTCAGAGCTCCACTGAGAAGTGTGCTCCTGATCTGGACAGTAACAGTGATGTAGATGTTGACCTAAGTTGGGTTTGGTGCGATCCTGCTCCTCTGACCCTGCAGTGAGCCATCTTAGGGAGATAAACTTGCAGAAAGTTGACACTAAATAGTTTTCTCCCAGGCTGTTTTCTTTATCTGATTCACCAGTAGTATAAATAAGTACTAATTTAAGTGCAGAGCAGGGGGAAGGGACTATGTGAACACACACAGAAGAGGATGGGATCACAGCATCCCTGGGTTAAGATGTCTTGGAAGTACAACTTTGCAGGTTTCCCACTTGCCATTAGTGATGTAGCTGTCTTGGGCACTGTGAGAAGGAAAGAAGGAAATACTGTATGTTTCCATCTGTTCAAGGTTCAGTCCCTAGGCTGATGGCTATTGGGGCGTGAAAGGAAGGGAAGTAGCTTTTTGCACAAGACCAGTGGTTGGGGTGGTTTCCCCAGTAGTGGGAAGTGTGAGGCGCTTCCCTGCTCAGTGTGAGGAAGACCAAACCCACACCTGTACCCCAAAATAATACTTTGATCTTTGGGGAACTGGTTATTATGATCGTTGTGGGTCATTGTGTAAACAGGAGAGTGAATCACGGGAGCAGATGCAGAGCGCGGAAGGAGGAGCCTGGCGGCAGAGCAGTGGAGGCTCTTGGCCAGGAGGGATTTGTCTTTGGTTGCCAAACCCTGGTGCTCACCTTGTGCGTGTGTCTTACCAGGAGAGCTTCGTAGGGCAAAACTCATGCAGTTTCGGAAGCAGGGGCTAGAATTCTACGGGCAATGGGGAGTCCACCGGGTCTCTTTATTTGAGCATATGGGTTGTCATCAGTGACTTAGGTCAGGGTAACAGGGAATTATGTGGCGTTGAAGTGGGGAAAAAAACATTCTCAGAACCACTACTTAATGTTTAACACTTATGGGTGTGTTTTCATTGGTCAGCATTTAAACACCTGAACTTCTTTTTCAGTGTTAAGATCTGTCTTCAGTGGCCAAACGTATACTATGGTATTACTATTAAAACAGCTGGAACTCTTATATCTCACAAATTGTAGGAATGTTTCTGGGGGAAAGCAATTGGAAGGAGCTTTTTCCTTCAGTCCAACATCTGATTTTGAGATAGTTGTGAAGAAAAGTATGATAATTAAAAGGATAAGATTGTATCTTCTGTCATCTTTTGTCTCTAGTGTAAGCTTGCTGTCTGCTATAAAACTAAATACCTTTGCAACTCTGTCTGTCATTCATAAATAATGACAAAAATGTTAGCTTGGTTTTACAGGAGACTAAACTTCGGGTTTTTGTGATAGATGTACAAGGGGAAATAACAGTACTAATAAAGCTTGTTTCAGGCATCTAGCAACTGTCTGTTATGATAAATTGGAAAAGCAAAGTCTCAGTTTCTAGTGTAACTGCAGTTCTGCTGGCAAGATGCTTCTGGAGGCCACACAACTTTCCATGGTTCACGTTCCAATAAATGACTTTTAATCTGAACTGACCGAAAACCAGCCTGAGGAGACCTTTATGGAGCATGGCACGCAACTCAAGCTCCTCTTGCTGTTTGATGTTGGACTCTGTTCCTCCAGGTCTGCTGCAAGTTTCAGCAAGGCTTCCTGAATAGCTTTAGAGTTATATGCAAGGATTTAAGTTATCCCACAAATTATTTTTTTCATTTTATAAGCTATTAAATGTGTTTTTCATGTGATTTATTTTATATCTGGTTTGTCTCTCTTTCTGGCTACTACAGAAAGGTCACTGGATTCTGACAGTATTGTAATATCCTAAACAAAGTACCAAGAATGTGAAATTGTGCTCTTTGCTGGACGAGTGCCTCACACTTGGTTATTTCTATTGAAGACGCAGGCATGCTAGAATTTCAGTATATTTTCCATTCTTTTGCTGATTTATTTATGGGTTTTTTTTTTGTGAAGGGCTCCCAGAGGGCCTTAGTTACCTATAATAGCCAACTTCAGAAAGAGTCTGAGTAGCTGAAGACTTCCTTTGTTCAAAGTCAGTGAAGATAGGTGTTACACAGCCATGCTTATCAGGAGGCTTGCCTTCTGCTTTGGCACCGGGATGTGGTTGGCAAAAGAGCTGGTTGTGTAAGTTTTCGAGAAGTGGAGAGTCCACCTGTGCCAGCAGTGACTGAATGCCTTGTGCAGGCAGCGTTACTATGTTGACTAACAGTGTGAGCTATTTTGTCAAAGAGGCAGTGTTGTTAGACAGGACACTTTGCATCTTTGCCATGGGGAACAACGTAGTCTGTAGTTGTTGTCAGGGCTGACTGGCTTTGACGTGTTTGGTCTGTTTTATTGTTTCATTAGTCAGGTTGTCATCTTACTTGAAACCAAGAGCTGAACAGACCACTCCCGTAAAGCCTGCTATAACCACCTTTCCCCCAAAGATGGCCAATCAATATTTTTTTTTTTTCACTTAGCACTGTTGATTTAATCAATGCCCTGCCCCTGAAAATGGGTTAACACCTTCAAAGAGCAGCATCTGGGAAGTTCCCTAATTAAGTTGGAAAGCTGTCACGGCTGGGTGACAGAAAGCTGCCACCTAAGGCATGGCATATCTTTGGCTTGAATCAGTCACAGAATCGCTGAGGCTGGAAGGCACCTTTGGAGATCATCTAGTCCATCTCTCCTGCTCAGAGCAGGGTCAGCTATAGCAGGTTGCTCAGGACCATGTCCAGTTGGGTTTTGAGCATCTCTAAGGAGACTGCACAGCCCCTCAGGACAAACTGTTCCAGTTTTTGATCACTCTTGCAGTGTGTATGTATGCATATGTGTGTGTGTGTGTGTATATATGTTTAAGTGGAATTTGTTCCATTTCAGTGTTTGCCCGCTGCCTCTCGTTCTTTCACTGGGCATTGCTCAGTCTTCTCCATGCCCTCATCAATAAGATCTCCCTGAGCCTTCTTCCAGCTCTTTCAGCCTTTCCTTGTATGAAGTTGCTCCAGTCCCCTAATCATCTTTTTGGCCCTTTGTTGAGCTCACTGCAGTATGTTCATGTCTGTCTTGTACTGGGGACCCCAGAACAGGACCCAGCGCTCTAGATGGGTCTCACCAGTGCTGAGCAGAGGGGGAGGATCACCTCCCTCAACCTGCTGGCAGTATTACTCCTAATGCATCCCAAGATGCTGTTGGCCTTCTATTGCTGCAAGGGTGCGTTGCTGGCTCATGTCAAGTTGGTGTCCACCAGGTCCTCTGCCAATCTGCTTTCCAGCCAAGCAGTCCACAACCTGTACTGATGCATGGGGTTGTTCCTTCCCCAAGGGCAGGACTTGGCATTTCCCTTTGAACTTCATGAGGTTCCTGTTGGTCCATTTCCTCAGCCTCTTGAGGTCCCTCTGAACGGCAGCACGCCCATCGGTCTGTTAGCCACTTCTCACGGTCTTGTACCATCTGCAGACTTGCTGAGGGTGCATTCAGTCCCATCATCCAGGTCATTAATGAAGATGTTGAACAACTCAGCACTGACTTCTGGGGCACACTGCTGGTGACTCTCCTCCAGCTGGACTTTGTGTCATTGATCGCAACCCTTTGAGTATGGCATTTTGGACAGTTTTCAGTCCATTTCACTGTACACTCACCTGGCCTATACTTTATCAGTTTGTGTATGAGGCTGTTATGGGAGACAGTGTCCAAAGCCTTGCTGAAGTTGAGATCAACAATGTCCACTGCTTTCCCATCGTCCACTGAACTAGCCATTTCATCGTGGAAGGCTGTCAGGTTGGTCAGGCATGATTTCCTCTTCATACATCTTTGCTAATTCCCACTATCACCACCCTGGTGCTCTTGAGTGGCACAGGCTCAGCTGCCTCTGATTGAACAGAGCTTCCAACCTCTTGACTGCTACCAGGGCACTGAACCTAGTCCCATGTTTCTAAATTTGTTCTGTCCGTTCTTACAGTCTGTTATAACTTATTTCCTATAATACCCTAATCAATCTGACTCTAATTTGGCCTGTCACTTTTTTTGTTTCCTTCCCTCTTCCCTTGGTTGGAAGGAAGCTTATCTTTTGAATTCTTGCCAAAACAAGGTTGCCACTTATTTATTAGAGATCTAGGATAAAGACATCTTCTTTGTATGCTGTATAGGAGATGGTTTGTGATGGCCGATGCTGCCTGTGAAAACTTAGAAGAATGTTGTCTCTCTCTCAGGTGAGCTTTGATCCTGCTGGATGTGCAAAAAGAGCACGATTAACCTCACTCAAGCTTGAGAACTTTTTCATCCAAGACTTGGTCATTATGGACTTTTAAGCTACAGATAATTGATTTGAGTTGGGTTTGAAATGGAGAAAGCTGTGTAAAAAGCAGAGGGGAGGTAAGATAGGTATTTTTGGTAGTTTGTGTTGCTGAGGTGTTCTGCACCTTCTACCAGTTGCGACTTCCTGGTTTTGACCAGCTTGTATTACTTGCAGTCCAACTTACTGCTGGCTGGTTTTAGTATCACCTCTGTTCTTGAGTAAAGCTTTTAAGTGAGAGCTTTAAGCATTCAGAATTATAATTCAGAAGCATTCAGAACTACTTCAAGCATTCAGAAGTATAATCCATGGACTGAGATGACTCCTAATTATCATTATTACAAGGAGTTGTGATTCCTTAAAAACATTTTCTGTCACCACTGAACACTGTTTTTGCTTGGATAAATATTATACTTGAAGACCTTTCAGAGGCTTATTTAACCTGGACTGTTTTGGCATTAGAATGGTTTCTTGCCCATCACGCTGCAGTCCTAATTACCTGGACGGTTCATCTACTGCTACTTGCTAATGTTGAAAAGCAAAACTGGTAAGTGTTCCTCTTGAGGATGAAGTAGTAGAGCGATGTGTAGCTTCTTGCTGTTTCTGTGTCTTCACATGAAAAAATGTATGGGATGAAACTATCTTGACATTCCCCATGACCTCTCTGCTTCTCAGGTGAGAGAGCAGAGTTTAGATCTGTTTTGTGTATGTATCCATGAGAATGAAGGTGGTATTGAGTATCACTGACATACAAGAGGAAATTCAGCACCTAAATCTCAAAAATAAAAAGTTGATATTCATTTGCTGCTATTTTTCTTTGGAACACAGACTCATGGATGATGACTGGGAAGTTCTCGAGATCCTCCTTCGGTTGTTGGCATGACTGAGTCCATGTTTTACAGTCTGGAAAGGTGACCAAAATGAACGTGTTGCGCATTTCAAGCGCAAATACGGAAATGTTCCCCCAAGGAAGTAAAGAAGCTTTCAAAATAATTAGTTCATGTTGACATAGTGTGGCTATGATTACTTACAACTTCTGTGGAAAAAAGACCAGGTGTTTGGCAGTTCAAGTCGTAGTCTGCAATGCTGTAAGCGTTTACCATGACTGACACTGTGTTCTGATCCATTTTCCATGTTTAACTTCGTAAAACTGTCCTACAGTGTGTGTATATTGAAACGTAATACCTCCTAATGTGCTTAAAAACAGAGTTTATCATGAGAGAAATAGGTAACATGGATATTTCTTACATTTTTATGCATTTGTAGTTTTCCAAACTGGTGGGGTTGAGTTGGTTGGAAGATGACATTTTTATTTCCAGACTGTAGGTGATGAATGCCAGTTGTCTTTATGATCTGTGGCTGCCAGAATTTCCTATCTGTTGGGCAATATTTCCTGTCAGCCACTCAAAAAACAATTCAGTGCAGAAGCAAGACAAAACTACTATGCTTGCCGCAGGCAGTAATGGGGAAATATGATGCCTTGAAGCAAGCTTAGAGAATGTGTTTGGCAAAAATAAATATATACAGTACAAAAAGCGTATGTTAGGAGTTCCACAGTGTGTGATACAAGCCATCACAACTCTGGTGATGACTTCTGTTCATAATGAAGAAAACAAATTTTCTTTCTTAATGGAAAAAAAGCAAAACTAAGTCTTCATGTTTTATATTCAACTGGCTCCTTTGTTAATGGGTGTATTCAGAAAATAGTTTGCCAGACAGATCATTCTAGCTTCTCTTGTATTCATGGCACCATCACGTAGTTCTGTTTTTTACTAAGGGTTTTCTGACTTCATCTATAGATGAAGGAGGGATAAAGGCTATGTTGCAACATGTGCGCAGCAGCACTTTTGATCAAAACTGTCCACAGATCAGAATTATACATTGATTAGTGGAGCTGTAAGTTCAATACCAGGAAGAAATACTTTCTCCCATTTGATTCCTTAACTTGTGAATTAATTGATGGATGTTATCATGCACTGATTGAGTAAGGAGTAACCTGGGAAAAAACTTCTACAGCCATTCAGGATTTCTGTTTTAACCCTGTTGTGCTCTCATCTTTGTGCATGTTTGTTGTGATCTGCAGAGGAGAGGGAGGTTTTGGTGAGAACAGGGTTAGTGCCTGGGTATCCTGACTGGATTTGAGTGAGAGGGAAGATTACTTGATTGCTGCAGGTTTGTGGAAATTTCTGGCATAAACAGAATTTCTTGATGAACAAATGAGTTTTTATTGCCAAACGAGCCTTAAGCTGTCGGTAAGCAACTCTTGTGGCTCTTGTGCAACAGATGGACAAGTATGTAAATACATTGCTATGCTTCTCTGACTAAACTTAATTGTATCAAAATTAAAGCTCGCTTGCTTGTTCTTCTTCATACAAAACCAGATGAATCTGAAGGAGGGTGCCTTTTACATGCCTCTGCAAATCAAGTTGTATGACATTGTCAATTGTACACCTTCTGGCTGTATTACATTGCTTGGATCAAACCTGCAAAAATATTGTGTGTGCAGCAATCAATTTCTTGCAGCTATAATAGCAGATGCAAGTATGAGAATTAACAAAGCATTGCATGTATGTACCTTACATGCACAATTTGAACCCTTCTCCCTCCTTGGCCCCAACTATGTGCTGAGTAACAAACGCTTGCCCTGTGGGCAGTGATTCATAATTGGTAAATCTTGGGCTGGGACTTGGCGGGGTGGGGGCGTGGGGGAAAAGACTGCCAGCAATCCCTTCCACCGCACGTGCACAAAAACCTACCCACCACCACCAAAATAGGTGACGCTGCAGGTTTTTTCCCCTTCTCCAAAACGGTTGGGAACACTACAGCTCACAAATGAGTGTTGCTGTAAGGGAGACCCTTGTTCGTAGCATTTGTCATTAGGTTGTACATGCATGGCGGAATTTCAAGTTGCATTTCCATGTCTGAATTGCATTCACCAGGTTTTTTTTTTCTTTTTAGTGGACTATATCGTGGAATATGACTATGATGCAGTGCATGATGATGAGTTAACGATCCGAGTTGGGGAAATCATCAGGAATGTGAAAAAACTGGAAGAAGAAGGATGGCTAGAAGGGGAGCTAAATGGCAAAAGGGGCATGTTCCCTGACAACTTTGTGAAGGTGAGTTTTCTGCATTGACGTGGTTTTACTGTGATTGTACAGCAGGCTAGTTATTATTGAAATGGTTAGAATAAACATCAGTTGTATTTGTAACAAGATGATTTTTTTAACTGGAAGACCTTTGAGGTGATTACATTTTTTTAGTATGCTTTTGAAGGTCTCTTTTGTTTGAGTAAGTTCTGCTGTCTGTTCTTACTTACTTTAGTATTTCTTTTGGTCTGTACCCTTGCACTGTATGTTCTGTCTCCTTTCTACTGCTGCAGTGCCCTAACAGTTGTCTGTAGCCATGATGACCTGCTTTAGGTAAGACAAACTGATTAAAAAAAAAAAAAGGCAAGAAAAAATCCCACACCTACCCCTGCAGAAGACATCAAGTCATGAGAGAGTTGGGACAGTGGGATCACAGCTCAGTCAGTGCAGCTATAATGAAAAACTACATCCTCAGGCTGTGGTTGTGTGGGTGCTTGAGCCTGGATTAAGCTGCTTTGTTTGAAGGAGCAATTCTGCCCTACCCATGACTCCCCGCTGCTGGCACTGCCTTTCTTGTGACTGTGCAAAGGGACAGGGCAGGGAACGTGTCCAGCTAAAAGGTAACTGCAATCAGGTTGGCTTTCAGCTTGTTTGGTTTCCTGACCGGGCTCCCCATTTGTCAGCAGCAAATATTTGAAATGGGAAGAGTGTGAGGTAAGTGCTCCACTGGGCTGCAGCACTGTCGTGTCTTTGGATTAGTCGTCGTCATTCTAAATATCATCCTCTTCTCTGCGATCTCTGTCTCGCTCAGTGCTGTGTGACTGACTTGCGGTAGTTGTCTTCTGCTGTGAGATATTGCTTCTCAAACCTTTTATTTAACCGTTTATATTTATTCTGTGTTTGTGTCCTAATTTTAATTGAAGTTCTTGTTTGCACCTTCCACATTTTTTCCTGTTTTCTCTACAAATTTTCTAAATGCATACTCTAAATTGAGTATGCACCTATTTATTAGTTACTTACAATGAAGAAGTCTGCAAAGCAGCTAGCTACTGCGAAGTAGCAAAATAGCTACGCTAGTCCACGTGTAACTTCTGAAATTCAGTCTGCTGAGCTGCAGATATTTTCTCATCTAAACTATGCAAGTGTTACAGAGATGTCATGCATTGCTTCTTTATGCTTTCTAACCTCTTTAGTAACTTCCATAAAGTATAATCAAAGAGAATTTAGATAATCCTGTCTCTTTTGAAGTAAAATTAATTCTTTGCAAAACAGAATTCTCTAATGTACCTTACTGTGGTATTTTCATATCGTTAAACCTAAGGCGAAATTTGTCCAGTGCTATAAACACTTCTTTACACTTGCTTACATTAAATTTGACAATTTTTCTGCTCATCTTACTGAAAAAGCAAAATTACTCATTTTTTATTTACTTCTGAGGGATTTAAGTGTCTACCTTTTAAAACCGATGGGAATAATGCAGTTGTTCTCAGAGGGTCTTTTACCAAGGAAAAGTTTGTACAGATGCCTTTCACTTGTCTAATATTTTTAAGTTGTTTGTAGTTTAGTTCAAACTCCTTTTTGGGTTTTGAGTCCTGTAAAAATAGTAATTTTACCTTAAGTGGTGTTTGATTACTGTGTTGGTGATATACTTAATTAGTACTCAAGTGCCATATAGGAAGAAAGCATCAGACATGGCTCTCCTCTGGTTCTTGTGTCATCAAGACTGTCAGTCTACTGAACAGCAAGGAGGGGTCGGATGTGGCTTGTTTCCATGTTAAATACTATATACTTGTTGGGTGTTTTCTTTCCCTTCTGCAGCTGTGGCTGTCATAAACTTAAATTATTTCCATCCTGAACAATATGCATCTCAGCTCCAGGTATTTTTAACTATACAGCTGTTCAGTATGTGCATGGCATTGGTCGGATATCCTGACTTACAGAGGACAGTCAGTTTTCTACAAGACGTAGGGATTTGGAGAAGTGGGAAGAAGTTGCGTAGAAGAAAATTATCTCTGGTTTCATGACAACAGGGGATAACTTGCCTTCTTGGTGTTGAGTGGAGTGCAGTTATAAGGCTGATCTTGGGAACTTTTTCTTCTAAGACAGTATGCATAGGCTGGAAGACTGTCATGCAGTAATGAGATGATGGGAAAGCATTACTTGTTAGGGAAGTGAAAGTCATGGTTTTCTTCATGGCCAATTTGATTATAGTTTCTTCTTAAAAGTTAATTTACAGGTAGTGGTAGTTTGAGAGATGATTTCTGGGAAAGCTGTTGCAGAAAAGTGGGGTTTTTCTGCCTGCCCCTCAGCTGTTCTCATTTGCTGCTGCAGTAGGTTGTTGATAGTGCAGGATCTATGAAACGGTACTGTGACCGGACCACTGCAAATAGCAAGCTTCAACAACTGAACTCAAATGCTCCAGCTTGGCCTGGTGCAATGTTAACACCCGCAAGGTGTGGATGAACTGCAGGAGGGAGGTGGAAACAAGCTGAAGAAGGGTTGTACCTGCAGCCTTGTGAACAAGGAAGGTCTCTTGAGAAATGGATTTACTCATTTGCTGCCTTGCCTAGTAGCTCACCACCACCAGGTGGTGGTGGCCTCTGTGTCCTCTGAGCTTTCTATGGGAAGGGGTGTCTTACTGCTCTAAGCAGTAACCTCCTTACAGCACCTGCAAGGGGGTGTAGAGTTGAGAGTAGAGAAGTGTAGCAAGTTGATTGGGAGGGGTAATGACAAGAAGGATGCTGAAGAGGGACAAATATTGCTAACTTCTCATGACCCATACAAAAGGGAAAGGAGGCTGAAGGTCTGAAGGATGCAGCGAGGAGGAAACAGCTGGAAGGTCACTAGACTGGGAGGACACTAGGCACTGGGGGGACCTTGGGTGCATGGGGTGGATCTCCCAGGTCAGGTCAGTAGAAATGTGACCACGGAGGGCAAATTGGTGTGGACAGGACCAAGGGTTGCATCAAGTTTTACATGTTTGGATGCAAAATTCTGGGACTGTACTTTAATACTTATTCCTTCCTGAAAGGCTTTTCTTATTCTCTTGAGTGTAATTTCATGCATTAGATGGGGATCTGGTCTGAACTCATACGGACAAATTTGTTGGTGGTTTTTTTTTTGGTGATATATATGCTGGTTTGTTAGGAATTGAACTGAGGCCAGGGTATAACCTCTCCATGCAGAATTTGGATGGTAAATTATAATCTGTGCTGATCTGAAAAAGATTAGCATTCGAAGCTGAAAGTGCATGTGTTATCCACTAGATTTGCCTAGCCTTTTCACGTATAAAATACTTAAAAATGTAATAAATATGACAGATTAAACTGGGTGAAGATGGACATGTTTTCTTTTTCAAATGTTAGATGTTTTTAGAGAAGATAAATGAGTTCTTTAAAAGAAGCCTTTGGTTTTCATCAGACAACTGCAGGAGAATTGGGAGGGAGGTGCTAATTCCAGCTAGTTTGGTTTTTGCTCATTTTGTTAGTTTGTCTCTTCTTCATCCTGTCGAAGGGCAGGAAAAGAGCTTGTTGCCTTGGTGGCAGCTGCAAACTGTCCTTGGCTGCTAGGCAGTGTGCAGCTGCTTCTTGCCTGTTTGAAGGACAACCAAAACGTCAACAGGAGGATTATGGCTGCGTGCAGCCTCGATGTGTTGGATGCCCCAGACTCGAACTGTATCGTTACCACTAAAGCAGATCAGTCCCCTTCCGTTCTTTCCTTCTGGGCTCCTCTGATATATAGGATTTTACTGACATTTTACACCACTCCTCATACTTTGACTTTTCCATGCTTTGACAAATGCGTCTTTTCTGTTTGAAGTATGACCGACTGCTACCAACTTCATTTTGAGTTGTTAAAGTTGTGCAGGAAACAGCTTTTTGATTGTGTCTTCCTTTTTTTCTCAGGTCTTCTAAATATTGCGAAGTAGTTTTATGTAGTGGTAGTGGGTTTACGTTTCATGCAGTAGTAGTGATTGGGTCTTTGCTGTTAGAAGTGCAGCAAAGGAAGCTGACTTTGTTTTCAAATGGGTTAATTTGTTGTACGGACAAGTAGGTGAGCTAAGCACTATATGACTTTGAAATACTCGTATGTGGAAGGGAATGTATGGAAGCTTCCTGTGGATACTGATGTGAAGCTGATGCTTGGTACCTTATAACATCTGCTGGTAACTTTTTGGTTGGATTTTTTTGGCTTCTACCCTTACTTTTTGCCCATTGATGGTGAGATCCTGAAGAAGGATTGGAGCTTGGTGGTGCCTGGTTCCTAGTGCCAGCTGGGACCTGGGGATTTTCTGTGAGCTCATCACTTGATGGGTTAACCAGCAGTCTGAGACGGTCTGTCCCAAAAGCTACAGTTCTTGGTGCTGACTTCCACCTGCGTTGTTCTGCATTAGAAGAAAGAGAACAGGTAGGTTCTGTTAAGGGGAACCCCATATAGCCTCCAAAACATCCTCAGATATTAGTGTGACGGTGTCACTGCATTGGATGGAGAGTGGGAGGTACTGTAAAGGTTGGGAGGGAAGTCAGAGCGTGGGACGTCTGAAGCAGTCCTGAAACCAGAGCTTAGGGGTGGTGGAGAAGCTTGTGGTGACTGTATAGTTGAAAACAAGTAGGTAAAAAAGGTACAAGCGATTACACTGCCCGCTTGTGAAGCTAATTTCCTTGAATTCACTTTTCAGTAATAGGCCTTTTTGAAGATTTTCTGCCCGTATTGCAGTGTTGGATTTTGGAGTGCATAGATTTTCAATTTTATTAACAAAACCTGATTTGAAATTCCCATTTGAACTGTGTGTATATATGTTTTTAGTGGGGTTGAAATATTTGAATTAGAGTTCTTGTTCCTGACATTGTTATTGCCATTTTTTTCCCTCTTCCTGTATGGGCAATTTAAATTAAACAACTTCATAAATTCCTGAAAGGAATTAGCAGTGGAAACCTAGCAGACTTTCATTCTTTTCTTTGAGAGTGGCATTTCCTTTCTAAAATACATCACAGTGCGGAATGTGCACACTGACGTTCCTCTCCAGTATA